GCCTGCGTAAAGCGATTTCACCAAACGGTGTTTATTCAATCACCACGTGAGTGGTGGTGTTCTCCAGTACACAACGAAAGGCTGCCAGCAGCGAGCTGCAACCCACATGACCATCCATAGAAGGAAGAAGAAGCCGGAATCAGTAGCTCTTCGTGAGTTGAGTCGCTGTGAGCTATCTATGTCAAGCGCGTCATTCTAAAGAGTATAAACAGAGAGAACTCCGCTCAAATTCCTATTCCTACACAAAACACAAGCTCCTGCTGCAGTTAACATATAAGATTTATTATATAAGACCACGTAGTCCTACGTCACCATTACGTACAACCCAATAGGGCTGTCCCTTGTTGTTTTTATGGCTTAGGTTAGTTTTCATAAGTATAACAATTTCATCATTCTGTGATAATCATATATTTATCTAGTTTTTGTCAGTCAAAAGTTTGCAAAGGAGCCGTTAAAATCGGGAAAGCACTGTAGTGATTTTGTTATATAAAAACATAGTTTAATAAAGCTTATAACAGATAAAAAGTCAGTATATTAAATAAAGTGATGGTTTTCATTGTTAAGAATGGAGACATTGAAACTAACTATTAATATTTATTGTATTTCTAAGAAGATCAACGTGTCATACTGTGGTAAAAATTTAACAGTTTTTCAACGAATTTTCATGTTTACCGCTTGGTTTTTGAGGCAAAAATCCATCTGAACATTTTTTTATAAAAATAATAATACATGAAAAATAATTTGTATAAAGACCATCTTTTTCGAAGGTGAATTGTATGACAGGCAAATTTCACACGATGAATTTTACCATTTGCCGAGTTGGCAAACCGATTGGGACACTGGAAATCTTGAACGGTGGTTACATTAAATTATTCCTAATGTTTCTTCGAGAGCGTGGTTTAAAGGCTTGGACTTAAGTCGTCACATCATTCGCGTGATGAGTAGACTTATTTCCAACCACTACTCGCTAGATGCGCTGTCGGTGTGGAAACGGTTACGATGACATCGATCACGCAGTTTGGCAATGTACGGATAATGAAGCCGCCAGAGAGCGACTTTTGAATACCCTCGAGGTAAGACAACCCTATGATCCTATCAGAGACGTGTTGGCAACCCGCGATCTCTTTTATAGGCAGCCGATTTATGTGTTTCTGCAAATGTCTAGAATAGAATTTTATTCCTCTGTCTTTTGTCTCTCATTAACAATTTTAGTTTGTCTTGTCTCTCCGTCTCGATGAGTCTCCAGACAAAGCTAGAAGCGCACTACCGTTCATACTGGCGAAAACGCTCTGATGAGACAACAAAACCTCACTCCAAGCTCCTCCCCTGATCATATCCTTCGTCAATGTATCCCTCTTACCGCGGGTAAGCCACGATTATTCTACCCAACTCCTACTAGACATAGAATTAAGTAAATTTTATTACAAACAATGAACAATGAATTATCGGCTCCGTAAAGCTAACGCGATTGAGCCCTCCAAATAGACGAACTAGACAAAAAAGAACAGATTTTCGACACTGTGCATTGTGCTACTGTGTCAGTGTTTCCTCAGAATTGTCAAATAACGTAAAAATTTACATCGTTTGCCCCGAATAATTATACTTTTTACACATGAAAATCGTGAAATCAAAATAAACCCCTACAACAGCAAGCCAACACAACCATCGCTAATAATTAAAAAAAGTCGCTTCAAAATAATCATCGTGAATATTTAACGAGTGACGCAAAAGATTTGTTTTTTAACGGATAGGTTTGCCGCTGGTAATTGTCGCCAAAGTGAACATATATTGGAAGGATCTCATATTACATATTTTTGGGCAACAAAAATTCGTCGTAAAAATCGCCGTGTGTGATCAGCGCTTAAATGTAACGAATGCTCGATCCTAGTTTGAACACATTACATACTGCTTTTGAAGACGACATTCAACGGTGCCGGTGGTGTAGTGGTAAGCGTGATTACCTCTCACCCCAGAAGGCCTGGGTTCAATCCCAGTCGGCGCCGCCGGGATGTTCTGAGGCATAACATCTCTGATCACGCCTTCCTTCGGATGGGAAGTAAAGCCGTTGGTCCCCGGTTCATGAGTTGATGGGTCGATAGGTAGGGTCCAGGTGTGGGAGCTGCCTTCCTGGCACGTCGGTAGCGTGCTCAGCACGGAAACAAGATCGACGGAAAAAACAAACCAAAGGAAGACGACATTTGAATTGCTTTATGTCTCCAGGTTTGAACGATCGTCGGTTGCAATGGATTGATGTGATGTAAGGGGATCGGTGACCTAGTGGCGACCGTTTTGTTTACTGAGCAATGTGTTCAATCCCAAGCCCCTTTGCATTTTAGAGTCGAAATCTTCGCATTTTTGCATCGTTTGCTCACCATGTTTTAAACGGTCGCATCACTTTCCAAGGTGAATCCAGGTCTTATTCTCCTCCCAATTGAAACAAAAAACCTTCTTCCCTTGGAGATGCAGAAGTATATAACTTAAGTACCACAAGTACTTCGAAGACTTTTTAAAAAGAACTACTCACTAAGATGGTCAGAACAATAATGAATAAAATTTTTATTTCGATTCAAAACATACCAGCTGTTCCTACAATCATAATTGATTACATAGCACTTCTATTTGAAGGATCAGTCACCTGATGGTGCCATGTCTGTCGTCGTCGATGTTCGTTGTCGCCGCGTGTGCTACTCCGTCAGCAGATTTGGTAGATGTCGTTTGATGGTCTGAAAGGAATGATGAGGGTTGCATTTGTTGGTGTGGTTCGTGATTGTTCTTTCTAGCGTGGTCAGTGCATTTGCTAGCTGTTGTTGTTGTTGTTGTTGTTGTTGGATATGCTGTAGGTGATGGTCTAAGTCTTTTGTCGCTGGTGAAGAGAGGTGTTTGACTACTCCCCCCTTTGAGGGGCTGGGTTTCTTAATGCGGTGTATCTCGATGTTTTCTTCAGCGTCTAACGGCTGTTCCCGAAGAACAGTGTTGAGCTTCTGGAATATTGTTTTCATAGCTATGCAGCATAGAGCAATAACTATCATGGTTACGAGGCTCAGGGTTGAGATCGTAATTGACGAGTACGTCTTAATATTGTGACTGAACGTGAAGTTTTCCAGTAGGTCTCGATTCTTGATATCGATTTCCTCTAGGCGCAGAATTGGCTCAAAATGACTTTCTGTTATCGAAAGACCATCTAGAGGTAATACTACTGGCTGTTCCGCCACGATTAGTTCGTTATTTTCGAACTCCGACTCGTTTAACTGAACCGAACAGTTATGGAATTCTATAAGGTATGTTCCAGTTAACTTTCTGTTTGTGATTCCACAGGTTGAGTTGACCGTCAGCGACTCGACTTGTTTAAGCACATTAAGGCTTCCCTTGACGAGTTTACATTTTGAATGATTGGTATAGTCGGTGAAGGAGCAATTAGCTGATTGCCCGTCGAGCAGCTTCGCAATGCATGAATCGCCAGTAATATTGAACAAATTTTCCGGATAACACAATCTCCTCCTCTGGATGCGTTTGCATTCTTTGATGACGATGAATGTTGCTCTGCTACTCCGCATGGCATGGGGTGAACGAATCCTTAAAATCTTGTTCCCTACTGCTTGGAACGACACTAAAAGGCGTGAATCAGGTGAAAGACCTGGGTGTGGTGTTGGATTCACAGCTAACATTCAGGCAACACATTTATTATGTCATCGATAAGTCGTCTAGGACTTTAGGATTCATCTTCAGGATAGCTAAGAATTTCACCGATGTCTACTGCTTGAAATCTTTTTACTGCTCCCTCGTACAATCGACGCTTGAGTATTGTTCTGCGGTTTGGAATCCGAATGACAACAATGGTGCCGAGAGAATCGAATCTGTTCAACGTCGCTTTCTTCGTTTTGCGCTTCGTAGACTGCTCCGGAGAGATCTGCTTCGGCTGCCCAGCTACGAGAGTCGCTGCCAACTGATAAACCTTGAACCTCTCCGGATTAGAAGGGACACCAGCAGAGCTTTGATTATCGCCGACACTCGACAGGGACGAATAGATTGTGAGGCTATCCTGAGGCAAATTGACCTAAACGTGCAACCCCGACCACTCCGTAACAACCTCATGCTGAGACTGCCACTGCGTCGCACGAACTACGGGGCATATGGTGCGATTTGCGGACTACAGCGTGTGTTCATCAGAGTCGTATCTGTATTCGACTTTCACCTCACACGTGATGCGCTTCGTCGGAGATTCTCATCTGTTTTCGCCGGCCGCAGTGACTGACAGAGAAAATTAGTGTATTTCCATTTATGTTTTTTATATTCTGACCATGTTGCTTTGTTTTTCTTTCTGTGATTATTTGACATGTAATTTTACTATTATTATTATTATGATTAGTATTATTAACATCATTTGGGCTACAGCCAGCCTGTTGATGTATGGCAACAATAAAGAAACTGGCAAAGCTTCTAAATAAAAGTTTTCGTAAATTGAGTTTTCCATTAACGGAATAGAAATTAAGAAAATAATTGTTGAATGGTTGCGGTAAGCTGAAAGTTCCAAGTAGTCATAGGTTTCTTCTAGTGTGTTTAGCATAACTGCTTTCTCTTCTAATCTTTTAACAGCAAAATCTAGTTCCTGAGAGGACAAAATATGTTTGGAAATGACTTTCAGTTTTGCTGATTTAATGGCTTCAAATATATCCTCTAGGTGGGATTTTAAAATATCTAGGTTAAAATGAATTTTAAGGGTCTCTCTCTCAATACAATAAAATGTTTTCCTGCTATATAGTTTCTGGCTGAAATGAGGTTTTTACAGATTTGCTGATGCTGTTTTTCTAATTGTTTTATAATTCGGTTTATTCTATCTTGAAAATTAAAGTTAATCTGACGTTGTTCATTGTTTTCGTGGATCAAAATGTTCGTGTTCACGGTCAAGGCTTGTAAATTTTTTGAAATGTCTATTAAGTCATTCTCGTCGAGGTTACCGGTTATGGCTTTAATACCGGATGCTACAAAGTTGAACAATCCTCTTTTCACTCTAGGTCTAGGTTGAAGTTCAGTGAAGAGTAATAGAGTATTGCTTAACTTTGTATCTAAAAGCTCAGTAATTTCGGTATAGTTTTCGAGAAAGCTGATTCCATTAATAATCGTTTTGAGCTTCCTGAAAACAGGCTCATAGATCTCTAAGTTAATGACGTGGAAAAGTCTATGCTCACCTATTTTCAAAAAACTGTAGCCGTCTTGAAGGGTAAGGAGTCCGGGATTAGGGGCTAGATTAGTAATTTGTATAGATTTTGGCAATGCGGGGCTCTCCAGAAGAAGGAACAGGATCCATACTACCAACATGGGTATCACTGCCATTGTGTTTGTTCAGCAACTCGGTCACTTTCTTCCAATTTCTGAACCCTGTAGGAATCGGACAGCTTGGATCACCCGAAAAGATCGACAACATAATTTTTTTTGTGTATAATTGGCTTTGAAAATCCAGAATATCATTTAAAATAGTTTTTAAAGTTTCTAAGATTTCTTGGAAGTTAAAGTTACAGTTCGATTAATATTTTGATTGAAAAATGTTGTAATAATATTTTGCGTCATGCTCTTCTTTACAAGTTAAAAAAAAATAATCTAAGAAAATATACTCTTCAAGGTACTGGTATCATCTTTTATTCAGTTACCTTTCTGAAATTATGTGCCGTGCGTTTTTGTATATTTTTAACGCATCGTTACAGTTTATTTTTGACAAGGTCAAGGTCACGCCCCTATTTGCTGCTGTAGTTACACTTTACCGTTGCGAGTACGTTAAACTTGGCCATTTTCAGCGAAAATTGGAGTTTTAATTTTTTCAAATTTTGACCTAAATACCAAGGCTAATAGGATCATTAAAAAGGTTTAAAAAGTAGAAGGGTCTGTGCCTAGGGGCACGAACGGAAGCTTGACGTAGGACCGCTAGTGGACGGAATAAACGTGAAGAGCATTTAGTTCTTTTAATTGATCAATTATCTATTACCTCAACTCTTTCCGTTTTTGAATTGTAGGCGTACCAAATTTGTTGTATTTTTTTTTTCAAAGAGAAAGTTGATTAAGAGAATCAATCAAAATCACTTGCACCCCTGTTTCCAAGTTTGGTTACAAGATAAGAACTCTGGAAAGCATTTTGTGTGGTCGTTGGGGGCTGGTGGTTCTGAATATGGACAAACAAGCACAGATAAATTTTATTCCAACTCTTTACTGATGTAAGCTTGATGGCCATCCACATCCACGGCCACTTACGCTTGGCGTGTTTAGTTAAGTGACAGCATCACGGACCTCATTTTCCAGGAACACCTTCAGCACACCTCGTAGATCAGACCGGAGATACGTTTGACACCACCACGGCGAGCCAGACGACCGATGGCGAAGAACTTTGCGATGACGCTTGGCGCCTCCTTTACCAGACCTTTTCCTCTTTTGCCACGACCAGTCACAGTCAATTGTTGCTTGTTAGGTGTGAAGGAGTGGACTAGCCACCACCTTCCTACTGCTGCTATTGCTGTTCACCACGCCGTCCAAAGCGAAAATGAGCTAATTCCATACAGCAGCGCTCTTTTATATCTTTTCAGGTTAAAGCAGAATGATGTGCAACCAAGTGGTATAAAAGCTACAAAGACTCCTCCCATTATGAGTAGTTTGCTATCAAGTAGCGACACTGGCTCTTTTCCTTTTGCGTACACGGCGAATGAGAACAACCCAAATTTGAGTTTAGTTCACTCATAATCGCCAAAAGTGCAAGAACTCAGCGATGAGTGAATTTGTCTCATGGTTTCCTGTGGAAAACCTAAAAAATCTGCCAGAAAATGAGGAAATTGATGAAAATTTTATTCAGTCTCGGAGTAGTACCAATAGACTGAGTGAATCCAATCTTTACTTTTCTCAAATTCGGGAATTTTTCCGTGGAAAATCCTGGAAAAACTGGGAAAATATGAGGCAAATTTACTCATCGCTGAGTTCCTGCACTTTATTTGTTATTTCTGAGATAACTAAACTCAAATTTGGGTCGATCTCATTCGCCGTGATATAACCACCGCCGGTGGTTAGCGTGATTAGCTCTCATCCCAGCAGGGCTGTGTTCAACCTCAGTCGCACCGGCATGTTCTGAAGCATAACATATCTGATCCCACCTTCCTTCGAGAAGTAAAGCCGTTGGTCCCCTGTTCATGAGTTGATGGGTCGATATGTAGGGTCCAGGTGTGAGAGATGCCTCCCTGGCGTCGGTAGCATTGGAGCTCAGTACGGAAAACACTCAATAGGTCCTATCTACATTGATCGATTCTCTTCATCGACACTCTCTTTCGTAAATAACTCGGCTTCACAAATGTTTCCTGCCGTCTTCGTCGAATTAGATGCTAGATTGTTGCTTCTTCCATCGAAAATATCCGGCCGTGGCGATTCAAAGTTGATCAAGGTTGATCAAAATAATTTGTACCCCTGCTTCCAGTTTGATTACATAAGCATTTTGTGTGGTCGTTGGTTCCGAATATGGACAAACAGGCAGATGAATTATATTCCTACTCTTTACTGTAATAAGCTTGGTGGCCCTGAAAAGAGCCGTTTTGTTGCCAAAGTTGGTGATGATTTAACTTCCGAAACCAAACAGAGTGCGTTTCTGTCACTTCAAAACGTAGATGACATCCATGGCCGCTTACGCTTGGCGTGTTTAGTGTAGGTGATAGCATCACGGATCTAATTTTTCAGGAACACCTTCAGCACACCTCGTAAATCAGACCGGAGATACGTCAGACACCACCACGGCGAGCCAGACGGCGTTTGGTTCTGAATATGGCGATGAGTGTGCAAAACATTACGCAATTCCATCCTCCTTATTCGCACGCGCCCGAGGATCGGAGGCGAATGCCACTTCGACTTGTTTCGTCTACTTACTACTCTCTGACGACTGTGCTGGGGAAGCAGCATATGCATGTAGGTAATTGGTGGATTTGTTAGTTAATTCGACGCTCCTGGACAGTGCTGGACATTTACAAGTTTTTCAATAGTTTCTTGTTGAAAATCAACATTCGGAAACATTGTTATCGATGCGTAGCCATATTTCTGATCGATTGGTGATAAAATTATTGAAATTGGACTAGGGGCAGCTGAGTTATTAACGTTCAAAATCTTTCTTAATTTGTTACAGGTTCCATTTTCGGTTTTCACAAAGTGTACCCCCATATAGAAATCAAAGACGTAGTCCTACGTCAAAATATGTAACGATTTGAACGAAAACGCACAAAACTATTTTGACAAGCGAGTACAGGATTGTTAACGGAATGACGACATGTGCGAAGGATTGAGCATGTCAACCCTGTCCCTAAGTACCGCCAGTTGGGGTGACAGAAAATGATGCCGAACATTCAACATATTTTTGAGATAATATAAAGAACAAGCCCGAATTAATTGCAACGCACATAAACAGCTGTAAATTTTTAACCTCGCTAACAAATGACTTGAAATTTTCAGAGAAGATTCTTACACGAATTTTTAGTTAGACAACAATCGACAAGGGTTCAAATGCAAACTAATATCTTTTTTTTTTCAAATAGGGAATCCAAAAGCTGTTTTTAAACTTTGTACAGTTGCGAAAAAGTCCATCCTCAGAATTCCTTGAGGTTCTTTTCGAAGTTTTTAGAACTCTATGAACTCTTTTAAAAAATCTTCTTAGAAGTCCTCTGGAATTATTTTTAGAACTCTTCTTGACTTTTACTCAGCCCACCTTGGAACTGAGATTCCCTTAGAGTTCCAGAAGAATTTCCTCAGTATTATCCAGAAATTATTCCCGGAATGAGCTAGAAATTATCGCTACTCCTTTGCCATTTTATTCAAAATCCCTTTGGAATTTAATTTTCTCTGTATTCTTTTCGGATACTTCCCAGAAATCCTTTGGAACTGTTCTCAGAATTCAATATCCTCGAGGTTCTCCTCGGATTTTGAAGAACTCTCCCAAAAGCTCTTTTGAAATTAATTCTTCTCAGAAGTCCACTGCTATTATATTTAGAACTCCTCATGATTTTTTCTCAGAACACCTTATAACTGAAATATCTTCAGAAATGCTATCCCGTTTCCTCGAAATTCGCTTGAAATTTTGCTTAAAATCCGTTCGGAATTTCACTCAAAATTTAATTTCCTCAGAGTTCTTCTCGAAATTATCTTGAAACTATCTGCAGGATGCACTAGAAATTATCCGCAGAATTTTCTTTGAATTCTTCCCAGAAAATTTTTTGAACTGTCCTAGGAATTCAATATCGTTGAGGTTCTTTTCGGAATATTTTAGAACTTTTTTTTTTTCTCAGAACACCTTGGAACTGAAATTCCCCTGAAGTTTCAGAAGAATTTCCTCTGTATTCTCAAGAAATTTTTCCCAAAATGATCTTGAAATTATCCTCGGAATTTCCTTTCAATTTTCCCTTTAGAATTTCATTCAAAATTTGATTCTCTCGGTATTCTTTTTGAAATTATCTTAGAACTATCGGCTGGATTCACTAGAAATTATTCGCAGAATTTTCATGAAATCATCCCCTTGAGGTTCTTCTTGGAAGTCAAGTTTAAATTGTCCGTCCATTCACCAAAGCGTTGTAGCTTTTCTACCAGAAATGTTCAATAAAGCTTGCCCCTTCATTCACCAGAACTGTGCAATTTTTACATCAGGTCTTATCAATTCAGGTTGCCCCTCCATTCAGCAGATTGTTGCAAATCATACACCAGAAATTTTCAATACAAACTTGCCCCCATAAAATTTCGACTGATGCAAATTTTCCACCCTTAATGTTCAATAAAAATTGCTTCTCCAATCTTCTGATTAGTGCAGATTTCCTTTTTCCATTTTCCACCAGACATTTTCAATATAGCTTGCTTCTCCTATCATCAGAATGTTGCAAGTTTTCCACCAAATAAAGCTTGCCCCTATTTTCATATTTTGATAATGTTCAGTAAATCAGCTTCCATCCAATCATCAGAACGATGCAAATTTTCCACCAGAAATTTTCAATATAGCTACATTTTTAATAAAGCTTGTGCCTTCATTTACCAGTGCAAGTTTCCACCATAAATCTTCTGTTCATTTCATTTATCACGGCGATGCAAATTTTGCACCAGAAATTTTCAATAAAACATGCTCCTCCACTCACCAGAACGGTGCAGCAAAAATTGTCAGTGAAGTTTGTTTCACCATGCACCTTTGTGGTGCAATTTTCAGGCTTTCCCTGTTCAAATTTTCCACCATGAATTTTCTATGAAGCTTGCATTCATCAGAATGATGCAAATTATGCATCAGTAAAATGAATAAACCTGGCTTCTACATTCACCACAGTGTTGCGAACTTTCCACTAGAAATTTTTAGTTAAATGTGCACCTCAAAATTTTTTGCGTGATTCAATTTGGTGTGGTTCGTGATTGTTCTTTCTAGCGTGGTCAGTGCATTTGCTAGCTGTTGTTGTTGTTGTTGTTGTATATGGTGTAGGTGATGGTCTAAGTATTTTGTCGCTGGTGAAGAGAGGTGTTTGACTTATATACTCGGTCTCTAGCAACAAAGCATGTTTGAACTGATAATCCTTCCCCTCAATGACCGTTCGTGGACGTGTTCCGTGCCGTTATTGATCTTGAAAGTACTGATCCACCAGAGTTTTCGCACTTTTCAATGTTGGAATTCACATGGCTATGTCATATTCGGAATAATTTAGAGCATAATCCCAAACTTGGCTGCATCCTTACGGTACTTTTCGGCAATATCGTACTTTCCGCGCAGGGCAGTCCATTTCTCCGGTCGCTGCTCGATCAGGAACTTGACCATCTTGGCCGTAAGCTCATATTGTTTCTGGTTGCATTTGGTACATGTGGTGGAAATGGCATCCGGCAGGTACTTCTTCGGTTTGTTTATTTCCAGCGTCCATCAGACAGTTGAAGTAGTTCTTGAAAAGTCGATCCGACTGTAGGATCTCATCCACATCGATGTTGTCGAACTAAGAGGAATAGCCTTCCTGAGCGATAACCATCGCAACCAGGACCAAAAGGATGACGATCTTCATTTTTTGGCTGGAGCGAGATTCAACTATGAACTTTTTGAACGAATAAAAAGGATGAGGTCTTCTGGAAGACCCGCAGTAAACTGTGTTGAAATCTTCGATGCATTTCATATGTTATTCGATCATACTCCTGCAATGGATATACTCATCCCAGATAATAACCATGAAATGAATGTTTTTCTAATATCAGTACCTGGTCATCGAATTGAGAACGGGTTTGCAGCTATGCCTCTGCATTACTGAAGCCTGACGTCAATCGATATGGATAGGTAATTTAGATTGGATTTATCATTTGTTACTTATCACATGTACTTGCATCAAACAGTTTTTCATTCTCCACTCAAAAACACAAGTCGTGCATCTTCCTTCTTCTTGCAGCAACTCGATGGATTCGAAATCAATTATAAATCAAATCTACCTCCAGTAATGCACAGTGCTGAGTGAGATAGACTCGTAATTGCAGCGAAAACAATAAGCGATGCATTTCTTGATGGTTCCAAAAAACGATAATTAGAGCTAAATGGGGAACTATGCAATATGGCACCATCATGAGGCGATATAAATAGTGAACGGTTCTAAGCATTCGTCACAGTTCAATTTGGGACTACCAGAAGAACTCATCCAAAGGTACCACCTACCAGTACCGAAAATTCACTGTTGAATACCACTTTATCCAAAACTCCATTTCAGCCAACCATGAAGATTGTTATTCTGTTCGCCCTGATTGCGATGGCCATCGCTCAGGATGGCTACCCCACCAAGTTCGACAATATCGATGTAGATGAGATCCTGCAGTCGGATCGACTTTTCAAGAACTACTTCAACTGTCTGATGGACGCCGGACCATGCAGCCCGGAGGGAAACGAACTGAAGAGGTACCTGCCGGATGCCATTTCCACCGGATGTTCCAAATGCAACCAGAAGCAACGTGAGCTTACGGTCAAGGTGGCAATGTTTTTGATCGAGCAGCGACCGGAGGAATGGATTGCCTTGCGCGGAAAGTTCGATCCGGATAACGTTTTTGCCGAGATGTACCGTGAGCAAGCAGCCAAGTTTGGGATCACCCTTTAAATTACATGTGAAATTACTTGGGTAAGTGAGCCACTTATGGCTCAATCCCATATCAGTTTTTGACACTAAACATTTAAATCACATAGGCCATGACTGGTGCATGGTAAAGCTGGAGCAAATTTTAACCTAGTGTTGTAACTGGTGCACTTTCCCTGCAGTTGAACGACGTGAATGATAAAACAAAAACTCTGTGACCAACATACCATCGACTTACGTGATGATACAAGTGATGCATCAAATGTGACCCTATATTCGATTCTATAATGAAAAGCTCCTCCTATCAATAAACTGATCACAGCAAAAATTCAAGCATTTTCTTTCAAGGCACAATTTTTACCCCTCATCATTGCTAGTCTAGCATGTAGTAATTAGTGTATGTAAATACTTCTGTCTTGTTGCATCCATCGATGCTCAAGGCATGCAAAGCAACATTTTCGTACTGTAGATAGGGGTGGCTCATCTCGTTTTTGCTACTGCATCTCTTAAACATGGTGTTTGAATTAGTTGGTGTAAAGGTATGGGCAAAAAGTTAGTCCTCGGTGAAATAAGCCTTTTTACGATGGAAGAGAGTGGTGATGAACAAACTTAATTTTGGTGTAACTTTTAATGGGCTTGTGTTAAATATTCATTACTGTGTAATTAAATTGTATGGCAAAAACGAGATTCTCTATCAGTGGGAAACATTCTTAATGCGGTGGATTCTCTGTTTTGACGTCTCGTTACATTATTCAATCGATAAACCATACAGCCAGTGCTGTGGTTGTGGGTAGTCGACGACTACTTAGCTGCAAAACGAAAAATGTTTACACTGTTGCGGCAAGTTTCTTGGATACCCGAAATCAATTGAATAAAGTGAATTTAAACATGTAGTACCTAAAACCATACTTACCTTGAATCGTATAACATATACACGTAATAGCACTCACTCTCAATCATACACGCAATCTCGCTCATCCACACAAGAAGTGTAACCGATAGGAGAAATAAAGTTCAGTTGTTCAGTGACCAGTAAACAGAGAACACTTTCCTTTGCGAATCCGAAAACCAACTATCCCGTCGTAAACTATCGGTGTGACTTGCCACGCGAAACGGCAAGTAGTGTCCCGAACATTTTTTGGTGCCGAAACCCGGGAATGAACCTGATTCGCGTCGTGTCGTTGTGAAGTGTCCAAGACACAGATTTCGTCGGAGTGGATCCAACAAACTTGGTGTTCAAGACACGAAAACAGTGCGCTAAAGTGTGCCCACGGCATAGAAAGTGAATAAAATTTGCTACTAATAGTGCACACGGGGAAGGTTCCTATAACCGCTATTGTTCTACATCACATTGTGTAGTAGCAACCACGTTGCTAATTAATTGTTCGTCACGTTGAACCGTCAACGGTGGTGATAGTCTGATCCGCGTCATTTCGCAAGTGAACATCGTTGTCGCCGATATAGTGTCCAAGATACAGATACCATCGGGCCGGTCCGAGTCAATTTAGTGTCCAAGACACGAAAAAGTATGCCCACGGCATAGGCAAGGGTGAATAGACCTACGACGATTATTGTTAGTGCGCTTTCTACTAGGGATATCGCTCCCGAACAAAAAGAATAGTTTGCTGCCGCGTAGTGAATATTGGAAACTTGCTGATCGTCACTCGATTGGTTGGTGGTGGTTGGTGCTGATCGCCGCATTGATCGTCGTTGCCTGGGGCTGATAGCTGGTGCCGATCATCCTTGCTGGTACCGGTGTAGTCGGAAGGGGTCAATCTTCGTCCGTAGATTGGTTCAGAGGAACACGGATTATCAGTTGGTATCATCATAGTCGTCGACACGGCACGTAAGAGGCGTTACGAGGTAAATTCTTTCCTTTTCTCGGGGTAACCAACACGATGGCGCCGTCGAAGCGGATCAGTAAGGCGACCAAAATGAAATGCCTGTACCGTCGGCGTGCAAATATTTTAAATTCGGCAGGGCTGATCCAGACGTTTGACGTTGAGTACGTCGTGGATCAGGCCAATCAACTTCCAATTCGTATCCAACATTTGGACGAATTGTGGCGGGAATTTGAGGGAGTACAAAATGAAATCGAAGATCTTGAAGACGCAGACGACGAGTTCAGGGATGAGAGACGGACATTTCAAAGTCTTTATTACACCCTGAAGGCATCGTTGACAACCAAGGTACCCCCTCCGTGTATTCCGTCGTCGTCTAGAAATCCTCCGATCCCCGTTGCTCAGTCTGTGCCAAATCTCCGTCTTCCAGAAATCAAACTCAAAGAATTTTCCGGCAAGTTTGATGAATGGGAGTCATTCAGCGATCGTTTTCATCTCACTGATTCATTCAAACCAGCAGCTAACCATGGTGCAGAAGCTGCATTATCTGCGTGCATCGCTCACTGGCGAGGCTGCACGCATGATTGCTCCCCTCGATATCACCGCAAACAATTATTCGGTAGCATGGAAGCTACTGAAAGACCGATTTGAGAACAAGCCGATGTTAATCAAGCGTCACATGACTGGCTTGCTTTCAATTTCTCCACTTAAAAGAGAGTCTGCTAGTGAACTTCTAGATTTGGCAGATGAGTTTGACCGCCATGTTCAACTTTTGGATAAGCTTGAGGGAGTTGAAGAGCATTGGAACTCGTTCTTGGTGGAACGACTCAGTAGTTGTCTAGATCCCATCTCTCTTCGCGAATGGGAAACACAATTCTCGGGCGAAGTTAGACCAACATATCAACGTGTCGTCGATTTCATCCACAAGCGATCCCGAATCTTACAAACCCTTATGCTCTCCCAACCTAGCGCTGGCTTGCAGCCCGAATGCAAGTCGAAGCTACGTGTTTCTGCTGTTCACGTAAGCTCATCGAACACTGTAGTGTGCGCCTGCTGTCAGCAGCAACATTTGCTGTTTCAGTGCGGCAAATTCCAGTCCCTCACTCCTCACGAACGGTTCGATCTCATCAAAAGGAACGGCCTCTGCATCAACTGCATGAAAGGGGCCCATCGAGCGAAGGACTGTACCAGTGGCGGATGCAAAACCTGCGCGAAGAAACACCATACGATGTTACATTTATCACCTTCGACCACAATGGGCAACCGTCTACAACATCCGGTACAACTAAATTCCTTCGCTGAATCGAATCGTTCGCAAAATCAACAGTCGCAACTCGGTGCGGTACAAAGCTCTCGGTCGGTTGAGCTTTCGAACGCCTCACCACTCGTGTCGTCGTTTCGCGAATTATCGTCCGCTTTCGGTTACGGACCTCCCTCGTCGTCGGTAGTCTCGTTCGATTCAAATTTACCTCCTAATGCCTGTCAAAGTGCTGAAGTGATCCACAAACAGAACACAAATGCCGTGCTGCTTTCTACTGCCGTGATCAAGGTCCTGGATGGGGACAATAAATACCAATACGCTCGTGCGCTCTTGGATAGTGGATCCCAGCCCAGCTTCATCTCCGAAGCACTGTGTCAAAGGCTCAACTTGAAGCGGACAAAGCTCAATTCTCCAGTCAGCGGTATCGGACAGTCTATGGTTAACGTACGCTACGGTGTAACCATGTCGATTGCCTCTCGCTTTGGTACCTTCACATCCAATCTTGACTGCTTGGTTTTACCGAAGCTCACCGTTGCACTACCCAGTTGCAGCATCGACGTAACACGCTGGCGGATTCCAAAGCATCTACCACTTGCCGATCCGCAGTTCAACATTAGTCAAGGGGTTGATGTCATCATCGGCGCTGAACTTTTCTACTTGCTTCTGGAAAACCAGCAGATCAGTCTAGATGCTGGCTATCCAATCCTCCAAAAAACCGTTCTCGGTTTCGTCGTCTGTGGTAAAGTCACGGAACAAGCTACCACAGAGGTAGTTGTGCAGTCTAGTCATCTCTGTACCGATGAGTCGCTCGATTCCCAGTTGGAAAGGTTCTGGGAAATTGAGAATCTTGATAGTGAAAAGGCATTCACTCCAGACGAGCAGTTCTGCGAGGAACATTTCCAGCAAACCATTTCGAGGGACGAGAATGGTCGATACGTCGTTCACCTTCCGTTGCGGAAAGAATTGGTTTCGCTTATCGGGGACTCGTATACTCCTGCACTTCGTCGATTGCTGTCGATGGAGAAGAAGTTCGCCGTTGATGAAAACTTTCATGAAGAATACAGCAACGTTATGGAGGAGTACCAGAAGTTGGGCCACATGGAGGTAAATTCGCGCGCGTTATCCGGCCCACAGTTTTTCCTCCCCCACCACGCCATCCATCGCCCAGAGAGCACAACAACGAAGACTCGGGTTGTATTCGATGGATCCAGCCATGGTGCCAACGGCCTGTCGATAAACGAAGTCATGTGCATTGGACCCACAGTGCAGCCACCGCTGCAAGCAACCGTCATCAATTTTCGGATGCCACGCTTTGCCTTTACCGCTGATGCACAGAAGATGTTCCAGCAGATCTGGATACATCCGGCTGACCGCAGATACCAGCAAACTCTTTGGAGGAACGATCCGTCCGAGCCAATTCGCGTTTACCAAATGAAGACGGTTATGTACGGACTGGCCAGCTCACCATACTTGGCAACTCGAGTGCTCAATCAATTGGCAACTGATGACGGAGAACACTACCCTCTCGCAGTGCCAGTCATCCGGAAGGGAACCTACGTCGACGACGTATTGACTGGGCACGACGATCTACACACCCTTCAGGAAACTTGTGGGCAGCTCATCGCCTTGCTTGAAGGTGCAGGTTTCGTATTGCGAAAATGGGCGGCCAACGATAGCACGGCACTAGTGAACGTTCCTACCGAGTTATGGGAAACCTCAAGAAAGTTAGAAATCGATCGTTCGACTGCCGTCAAGACGCTAGGCCTTCTGTGGTTTCCTGAATCCGACCAGCTCATGTTCAAGATACCAGCCCTTTTTGAGCACGCCGTCATCACCAAGAGGGTAGTTGTGTCCGAGATGTCCCGCTTGTTCGACCCCATCGGTCTGCTCGGGCCTGTCGTACTGTGTGCCAAAATGTTTGT